AAATATAAAAATAAATTATATTTACTACCACGTAAAATTATACGGTCTTAAGAATATATCTATCCAAAAGATGTATATTAATTATGACTTTATGCAATGAACCTGTAACGGTTTACTCTGTGAACCGTGTTGCTAAGGCTGAAATCAAATTATTTAGTTCTTGGATTCTACCGCCAATAGTGTAGAAAGACGTGGGCTACTAGGGATTTTTCAATTAAATTAATTAGAGATCCCTAAGTTTGTTGGATAATCTAACGTGTTATAGCCAGCTTACTGTCTTCATAAGATGGATACCAGAAATCAAGAATTCAAGGATAAATCCGTGTTATTTTCGTAACAATTATCTAAATTATAAAGTCAGTTACCAATTAATGATTATGAATAACTTCCCATCTTACTTAAATTAGAGCTCATTGGCTGGATTCTTTATTAAAATCACGCTTGACCTCAGGAATATTATAATTCTATTACCTAAGTCAAAGATGCATTTTAGATATTGTTTGTTAATAATTAAAATACAGTACTTGAATATATCCTTTACGGCCGTATCACATTTCATCCGCTTAATATCTGATTGGAAGTTTAATTGTATATATATAATCGTTTAAAAGTTTGGCTTTTGCTTTAGTTTAGTGAATCTTTTATATATAAATTCTTGAAATCTAATTTCATAGTATGGTCAGTCATTTTCATTTTGGAATTACAAAATACTTGACGCAAGTATACCAAAAATAGTGCAAGGATTTTAGTTTCAGTATTTTTAAGTAATTTATTGATGTACGTATACTATCGTAACTTAAATAGATTTGGATCCGTATTGTGTTACATGGTTTTAACATCCTACGCCATGAACCCAAATTTTACTAAGCCCTCGCCACTCGATACTAAGGCGGGTGAAATATGAGAAATTATTATTGTAAATAAAATGCCCTAATTCATAGCACATTAATGGATCTCAGAATAAGCGCATTATACAGCATTACGGGGCTGTAACCGTACTATTTAGAGCTTCGGGCTGGATTATAGGAAATTCCATGTTACGACCATTGCGTCAGAGTTGTTTCTCCTAAAGAGGGATTCTAACGAGCATTACTGATCAGATAACCGGGTAATTAAGAATCGTGAAAGAATTGAAACTTTATTATTAATTTTTAATGGTTTCAAGATAGGATAATTTAGACGAGATATAACGAGCATTACTGATCAAATAATTGGGATATTAAGAATCGTAAAGGAATTGAAACTTTATTATTGATTTCTAATGATTTTAAGATAATTTAGACGAGATATAAATTATGTTGTAGTCATTAAGTAAAAATCATAGTTGAAGCTATAATATTAAACATTGTTAGAATACGCAGGAAACAAATAAACCGAAGAAATTTCTAAATGGGAATGCAACATCGGTGGATAATACATTAGCACTAAATTGATTGTAACAAAAAATGACCTGACGAGATGATACAATCAGTAACGTTCCATTGCCTTATTAATGAGATTTAGTTGCCTGATGTTTGTACTCTTACATGTCGTCATTGCGTTTCCTAATAGTTGAAATTAGCTGTCTTACTTTCTCATTAAGTTAAAAGTATAATTGAAGATTGGAAAATTTAAGTTTACCTGGGCGTTGCTCGTATAATATTATCAACTCTTAATACCATTTCCGCTGCTTCCGCGGCAGAAATCACAATCTGACGTTTTACTTGGTAAGATTCTGTGATACCAATTGCTTTCATATCGCCAATCGTTGCATTAATCATATCTAATTGAAATATATGTAGTTGTTACGATTACCAATCCTTACGGAAAATAAACAATGCACTTATCAGTAAATAACTAATCACCTAGTCCGGCAGTTCTTTCCTTTTTAGAATGGGCAGCTCGAAGGCGAGTAATCAAATCTGCGCTGTCATATCCAGCATTATCGGAAATAATAGTAGGCAACTGAAATTATAACGAAAGAATAAATGAAGTTGCATTTATAAAATTATTACCGTATAACATTTAAGGATTAATGTTACTAACCTGACGTAAGGCTTTCGCGAAAGACTCTATAGCAATAGCTTCTTTACCAGGTGTTTTAGCAGCTAATTCGGAAACAGCATTTGCCATTAGCATTTCTGAACATCCACCACCATATACAACTCTAGTTTCTTTAATTGTTTGTGTTAGAACACATAAAGCATCATGTAGTGATCGATCTGCTTCGTCTAAAATTTGCTGTGTAGCTCCTCGCAATACTATGGTGCAAGCTTCACCAAGTGAAACACCTGAAAATCTTATAAGCTAAAATAGACAAAACGAATGCAAGAATTTATTATTAATTTCAAATGCTTAGTATTCTCAGTACATAGCTATTACAATATTTACGGTAATAGGACTTACTCTGTCTTCACCGATAATTACTTCTTCAATACACTTGCAAGTCCCCAATTTTACTTGATCAGGGTGGGTAAAAGTAGATACAATCTCACCTCCTAATGAGTACAAAAATTTTAAGGTTACAAGCCTTTTGTATAGTTAAATAAAATCTTCAACCCTTGCTAACCACGATGAGCTTTTAATTTATGTAAGAATATTCATATCATTTTACCAGTTACTAAGGCTAAACGTTCAACTCCTTCAAAGTCAGCGTGTTCAATTGCCATTACGCCGGCATCTGCAAATAGCTGTTCTGGGTAGTTATATATAAGTTGTCTAATAAATAAAGCACCGTAGAGAATTAATAAGTAATGATTTGCAATGTATATTAAAGTCAGCTAACACCAACCTATTTATGAAGCAATTTATGTTGTGCTTTAATATTGCTTCAACTTTTTCTTTCATTTTTATCTACACACAGAAAAAATAACGTTGATTATTACATTATAACACATCTGATTTCAGGCTTATACATACAGTATATATCTAATTAACGTGTGCTTATTAAAATGAGACGACCTTCTCTGCCTCCTCTAATTCTGCCACTTTAGCGGTGGAATCAACTCGTACACGTGAGCCGAAAACCTGATTCAGGTGATACGTAATTTAATTGATACATTAAAATAACCTTAAAAAACATCGTTCAATATCGAATAAGTATACTTATGTAGTTAGAGAATCCGTTTATAAAACCTTAATCTTATCAGTATCCATTGGCGTGTTTGCAATTAATATGCGGGCATTTTCGATCCGCTTCGGTTGGTGAACTCCAATCGTTTTGTCTAGTAAAAATCCTATGAATTGAAGGTATATGATCTTAAAAACTAGTAAAGAATAATCTAGAATACCGTTCATTTATGGTGCGGTAATGTGCATAAAAAGGCTCACCTTCGTCTAAGTATGAATCAACCAGGTTACCGCCCAACTTTTTTATTAGATGTATTGCATCCAAATTGCCACTACCCTTCAATCTCAGTACGGCTTCAACAGCTAGTTTGCTAAAGTGTTCCTTATGTTGTGTTAAAATCTTTGAACTTAGCGTTGTTCGAGCAATATTCATTAAATCCTTTGAAAGATTAAATGTAACTGTTGTCAAAATTTGCTGTTGACAAATCTAGAATAATAATTTCTATTTATGTAAATGAACAATTTATATGCCGTATTAAGTTAAATTTTTAGATTGAAAACAGAATACGCACATTTCTAAACTGATCCTCGTCACCTCCGTGATCTTCCGCAACAGATGTTAGCACGTCGACGGCAGTTTTCGCCGCAAGACGCCATCCACGAATAATCGTTTGAGGATGCATTTTCATTGCTATTAAATGTTCAGCTTCCTACATGCGTTTATTAAGAAGGCGTAAAAGTAGCATAATCATCAGATAATGTATACTTGCAAAGCTTTTCGGCTTGAAAATTAATAAGTATTTTCAATTTCATTACGCTACTTAATAATATAGCATTACCCTTAGTAGTTCACTAGCTAAGACAGTAACACTTGTTGTACCATCACCGACCTCATCATCTTGAACTTTAGATAAATCTGCATGCAATCGAATCGTTATAAAAATCATTTAATTCCGAGTTAAGAGAATACCGCATTGCACAATCGGATATACACAAAAGGAAGAGGCACATCGGTTAAACTTACCAACTAAAATTTTTGCAACAGGATTATCAACACCAATTGATCTCAGGATTGTCGCTCCATCATTAGTAACTTGAATAGAACTTTCTCGTCCCGGAACAGAAGATAAAAGGACTTTATCCTACAGATAAGTTATGACGAACTAGATCTAGTAAATATCCAAAGTTATCAAATGTACTTATTTTAGTCAGTGGAACAAATAACTTACCATTCCTTTTGGCCCAAGCGTGCTTTTGACTAGATCTCCTATAGCTATTGCTCCAACAAATGCTGACTATCAACCAAGTAAGAATCAGGTAAAGACAACGGTATTAAACTTAGGTAACGATTTTATTCAGTATAAAATCCTTTTGTTAATATAGTACATTGATGTGTTATGTTTCTTTGATTGATAAAATGAATAAATTAGATTATATTTTTTCCAGGAATATCACTAAAATATTCAGTATAGTGATTTGTTATTTGGTGGCAAGCGTATAACGGCATACAAGAGCTAATAGGAGTTATAGATTATTAGTGCATTGTACGAGCCTTTGCAAAGGTCTCACCGTTCGCGCTGATTCAGCTTTTTCCTCTTCCGAGCCAGCTTCGAGAACAGGATAAGATAGTAAAGATGCCTACAGTGAAATGTCAAATGTTTAAAAAAATCTAAAATCTCATTAGGTAAAAGAAAAATTTACAGCCACTTATGGTGTAATTAGCAATATAGAATACGTGTATTCGTAACACATCGGATAGCGAAACACCATCATTCTAATCTTTATGGATTTTGGATTCTTTTACATTCGGTTATGTCAAGATTCATTATTAATAAACAATACTGTATGTAGTACACAATATCATAGAACTCAATCATGGTTACTTCGCATCGTATTGAATATTTTATCTTGTAAACTACAGTACTTTAGGATAGTTGGAAGCAGTATGGTCATAAAAGTCGAACACGTGCATCATGAACCATAAACGCACTACTGTACCTTTTTATATACACTCTACTACAATGCAGTATCTCATTAATTACGCAAACCAATTAAGCGAAATTATTGAAGATAGATTAGGTCTGGTTTAGGAATTAAATATTGTAACCGAAATTGAATAAGAAGTTCACTGCAGATATACAAAAAGAAGTTGTGCCTATGCACGTCAGCCCATCTCTGGTACTAGCGCGAGTACGCGACCGTCAGCCGAAGTAGGGTTTGTATATTTGCTATTTCGTTGAAATTTTTTCTCAGTAGGATCCAAAATCAGCTACTCTAGGATCTGATAGCTGTAATGTAGGCTAAGAGATATAAGCTAAATATTTTTAAATATTTACCATTTCTAAAAACGTAAAATATACGAAACTGATTCGACGAAGCTTAAATGGAAGCTTAATTTGCAGGACGTCGCTGATTTCTAATATTATTTGCGGCGTGGACTGAAAAACTTTAACTACCGCTATCACGATGATTTCCGTTACACTTAGTGGTCAGAGTCAGAGGATATTGTACTGTGTGGCATTTACTATACATTACAGTACAGTACAGTACAGTACTGTACTGTACGTTTCAGTGATATACAGTACTGTACTGTACAGTACAATGAGAACCTGTAATTTTGTAGTCGGCATACAGTACAGTACTGTACACTGTACAGTACTGTATTCAAAGTTTTAAACACGACCATGCTGAAACGTCTCAAACTATGGTATTCACTTACTAGAACTCATATTCATAATTTCAGCTAATTCTATAAAGATTTTAGTGTGCACCTAGACAGTACATCATGCTGAAATACACTTCTAACTCTGCGTACTGTCGCCGCTTTTCCTACCGTTTAATGTACTGTAGACTGTAGGATGAAAATAGTATCAATGTACTGTACAGTACAGTACTGTAGGCTTGATAGCACGAGGGTGGATGCCCGCGTGATCTTTTTCGTTCCAGTACAGTTCAGTACAGTGTACAGTACTGTACTGTACAGTACATTGTTATAATTAATTTATTTAATGCGATCATACGGTAGGTACAGTACAGTACAGTACTGTACTGTACTATCACATATTCACATCACAATTAAGCACATTATACTGTAGTACGGTACAGTACCGAGCTCGTATTACTTACTTATCCACTGATTTAACTTGAGGTTCACTGTACAATTATAATTTGTGATATTACAACTATGGGTAGGGTAAGAAGGAAAAGAGTGCATAAGAACATCAAAGACATTAAAAAGAAGGCTCGTACAAGGCATAAAACTAAAGATATTGATCAAATACATCAGGACTTGAGGAATGAAAATGCGAGAAAATTACTACAACAGTCTCCTGATATGGATCTGCCAGGATTAGCACAGTTCTACTGCTTAGAATGCGCGTAAGTTTTACCGCCAATGGACATTTCTGTACACAGTGCGTTGTACGTACTCGAATATTATTGTAATTTGTATAATTACGGCTATCATATTATATTATGCGATTTAATTTATACAAACTGTGGTGCACTGTACCGTGGGTAAACCTGTAAGCACTCACATACTGTACAAGTGCCAGTCAATATTATCGAACTGAAAACGAATTATTATATGCTATCTCGTCATTTTTTTATGCTTCCAGGAGATATTTCATTGACCAGAAGGCGTTAACCGACCATAAGAAACAAAAAGTGCACAGGAATAGGTATCTAATTTGTTATCCTTTACGAAGAATGTAAATATTTTAGCAAGGATTACTTTCAGTGATAACTTCTAAATTCGTAATGCTGTATCATTATGTCATACATTTTACTCAAAATACGTTTTGTGACTTATAAAGGATTATTGATTTCAATATCGTTTATTAGAAAAATAGTTTTTCCCTTAGGTTATTAAACATATGCTTGGAATATCGATGAAACTAAAGTAAAATGTGTGTTTTCTTTGTAGATTAAAAGAACTGAAATTGGAGCCGTATACACAGCACGAATCCGATGCTGCAGGTGGCATGGGTTCGTACCATGGTCCGAAAGAGGCAGTTACATCCAAAGAAGGCATCTACCCTCTTTTACGATATAACAATACGACTAAGAGTTTATGGTGTGCGTAAAATGTACACTAAATGTATACTATAGTACTAACACGTTCGCATTGTAACTTTTGAAGTGTAGCAGATTAGCTACTGCGATGTACAAGATATGGTGCGTTTTAATTGGTGTATTTGTGACGAAGAAAATATTGTCCTTGCGGTAATAGAAAGATTTTACATTATTTCAAGAAGCCACTTGATTTAACTAAAATTTACAAAATTTTAGACGGATTATATAATATACGGGTATGCTATTGTGATCTTTATTATGGCTTATTCATATAAGGTAATATGTTTTCTCATGTCAATAGTTATTCCTGATTGACCATGATGGTTTTATTTTGTTATGTACTGTTGTACTAGTAACAAAATTACAGAAATGCCAATTAGATCTTATTTTTTCATCGAGTTGATACTATATTGGTGAGTTATTTGCTAAGACATTTTATCGGATATAGTTTTGGCCTGGAATATCTTAAATATTAAAATAAATTTTATCTTCAGTTTAACAAAGTATGTGGTATCGATATTTTTGTATAAAATTTATAGATATTAATACGTATGTCTGAGTTTGCAGGATTGGTATGATTTTAGGATTGAGAATGTGTTGGGAATAAGAATTATGAACAGATCTATCAAGAAACTTAGGCTACTATTTCATATTAAATCAACGCTGTAACTATAATTTAAAACCATAACAATCACAGTGCGAAGTGGTTTGTCTAGAGTGATTGCTAATCAACGAGTGAAATAAATGATTGGCTAGTTATTCATACGCACATATTAAGTACTGAGGTTATACAGTATACGAGTAGATGGACAAAACGTATTCATTGAAGCGACCATATAGACGTATAGTAGACACTATTATGATATTTTTATTTCGTAAAAAATGAACTAAACCCAATGAAAACGCTACCTTACAATATTTTAGTAAATGACGTAAATTATATATATTTAGATTCATATGAAAGGTACAGAATCTAAATAAAGAACGATAAAATACTTGCGATAAGGAAAATCGCAGTAAATCCGAATTAGAGTAAATCAGAACTCGATCAATTTCTTCTGAACTTTGTAAAAATACTATTCGTCCAGGTAAGAATTAGCTGTTTAAGATATCTTTAAGTATTTCACTCCTGTAAGAATTCGCAACAAATTTTTAGATTTGGATCCTTGAGCTAATGCCAAGATAAAGCGGTACGCGTTTTGATGATGTATAAATTGTAACCGTAACAAGTAATAAAATAGGCACACCACTTTGAAACACAGATATTCATATCTATAATTAAGGTGTAAAAGTAATCTGTAAATAATTAAAAGGAATATTACGTAATACACAATTAAATCCCAAAAATATTCTACTTCAATCTGATATTAAAGAAATCAAATTTTAAGTAAAATTGTATATAAGTTAGTATTTTTTGTCTCAGGTATTATATAGAAAGATTTTAATAGTATACAGTGAATTAATATCACATCGTTCATTCACTACAAATCCGGAGAAACGAAGGTACGTTTACACGGTCGTTTCGCAATCGTCTTTACTCGTCGACTGATTTCGTTTCGTTTCTAACATATTTCAGGGATAAATAGTAAATTAGAAAATTTAACCTGATTTATTTAAAGTGAATCAATTTCATAACAGGCCACAATCAGCTATTAAGTAGAACCTTGAATAAGATCCACAACCTCTAAGTAGTTCAATTTAATTGCAAGGCTAAGAGAGGATAGACCCTATCATGAAAAGTTTATAAACGTCAGGAATTTTCTTATCAATTAATTATAAACTAAAATCACATATGTTTTAACCATATAATCGGCTATTCCCGTTGCACTAGCACCAGCAGCTAGCATAGCATGAATTATTGACGTGTGTCGACAAGCAATGGCACAGTGTAGGCCAGTATGTCCACTATAATCATGCAGATGTATGTTGGTAAGTTAAAGTGCCTTCATGAGATCACATAGTTAAGTAATTTAAGTATTACGTTCAAAAGCGTAAATGCACTTACAATGTTGTATCAGCTACATTTAAATCCATAGGGGCTACTGGAAAATTAAGTTATTTTGTAAACTCAAGGAATTAAGAAAAAAATCAAAAACATCAAAAGTACATATCCTACATTTAAGTAATAATATTTTCAGAGTTTGCAACTGTCCATAACAGATAGCATAGTGTAATGCAGTGCGACCGCCGCTATCAGTAAATGTTGGTGATGCACCGGCTGATAAAAGATTTTCAACCTAATAAGTCAAATTATAAGATGTAAGAGTTGACAAAACTGTCATAATTACTAAACTAATGTATTTATAGCAAGTATTCAGGTCATGAAATTCTTTCCATTTGTGATTACCTGATTGCAATTACCAGTTCTACACGCTTCTAATAGTCCTAAAGATTGACAAAAGTACAAAGATCAGATTTACCATTTTATAATATATAGTTTAAACACGATATACTGCTCGTACTCCTGTTTTTCAAAGCATTTCCTTCAATCCTAAAATGAAAATCTTGATGCATTAGTCATTTATAATCCATGAATAGATAAATAGGATTTGAATATTCTTTTACATGTGCGTATTACTGAGTTACTACAAAAACTGATCAAAGTACCTCCGATTTCTTGATTTAGAAGCTTCATTAGATAAGCAAACGTCTATCTCCGGGTCACTACAGAGTGATTAGTAGATATTAGTTTCGATTATCGACGTATTAAACACTTATTGGTTATAATCAGGAAAAGATATAACTACAATTATACCAACCTTGCAGAGATAACGCGATACAGTGATTGATGGTGATCAATTTCCGTAATATCTATAAATATTTATTGCACTTTAAATTAGAGGGATAACGTTTATGAAACTTATCTGAAATAACATATTACCTTCAGAATCAGATAATGCGCTACGGCGATTTTCGGGTAATAAATCTAATACATAAATTCCTCCTGTCATATATTCACTAACGGTATGAAATACTTCCTGCCAAATTGATTAGGACATAAAAGCAATACAGATACAATTATTATAGTCACTAACCAACCTGTAAAATTATTGTTCATTTCATAAATTTTTACATGCACAAGACTGAGAGAAGTTATGGGATATAATTACCTCGCACGGATCAATATGAAAAAAATACTGGGAATATACCCCTAAAACTTTTAATTTAAAAAATTGATACTTATTAAGGTACAATCGGTCATGTATCACACACTATATAAAAACACTTATACTTGTATGTCGCAAGTATTACTAACCATCCAAGAAAAACCATCTACTCCATAACGTCTCTTTTACTGAATGGTTTTTTCTCTGTTATTATATAAATGAATTTCTACCGGTTACATATCAATCATAATCATTTAAATTTACGTAAACCGTTATCAGCCAACGATTAGAATTACCCTTAGAAAAAACTTCGTAATACTCGGTCTTGCCTCTTCCAGGCTGCAGGATAACTTTAACTCAAGACAACCAATGGTATGGGCTGCAGTACAAACATTGGAGTCAAATTCAAGTTCAAAGAGGTTACACTACATTTATAAATACGTGTACACTGTACAGTGTAATAGTACATCGCTATCGTTCATCAAAACAACGTACGCACATTTGGCCTTAATTACTGTGCCGTCATAATAAGCTGCTCTAAAATCAGCCATTGTTACTCTATGAACTTTGACTTGCACGACATCACTTGTCGTCGGACGTCTACCGATAGTTTATAAGAATGAGAAATCAGTTACAATTTGCGTCGCAAGGGTTTACACAAGACTTGCATTTCCGAGACCTACAGTGGCTGATGTCGAGATATCTTTCTCTGATGCCCATAAAGTAATAAAAAGATTTTTAAGCAATTTTATTTTATACAACTTTATTATTTAAAGTAATTAAAAACATATTCATTCACCTTCGATCTTTGTAACATCTGAGCTTGATTTCTAATTGACACGCGAATTATTGATGGAGCTAATCGACATGGCTCTAACGTTAGAAACACAATTAAGTCGAAAATTTCTATAAGTTTGAGATGGGTAACAAATATATGGTATTGCATTATAATTATCATTACCTCCATCAACCTGTACCGGTAACACCTTGAAAGTAGTTATTTTAACAGTACGGCACTGAGTAATGCGCTCGCCATGTCCCCCAACAAACAGACCCGCCTTAGTAAGCATAAAATGATTTAGTTCAGAAGGGAGACTGGTAACAATTGTTTTGTAATATAGTTATAAAATGAATTGAAAAGCAAGAAATAACCAGTGATGATGCTGTTAATCCAACCACTTCCAAGTAACCGTCATCAAATCGCTGTGCTCTAAATGTCTGTAAACGATTTGTGATATTAAAATGATTATAGTTCACGTTTTTTAACAGATTCATTAATAAATACGTACAGGATAGTCTCGAGGATTAGGATTACCCCAAGGGGTTGTACCGGCTCCATACCTAGGGATATCATAACTAAATTTATACTTACTAACATGTATAATATACAGCCGAGTTTTATCCTACTTCGATATGTTTAATAGAGCCAAGGCGCATAACTTTAATTCTCGAACTTTTGGCGTTAAGTCTTCTCCATCACACTTTATGGAATAGTTCAATAAAATAAAATTAGTTAGATAAAGCCAATTAAAAGATAGGAAATCATAAGATTAGTCATCGACGGTAACAACCTCAAGAGTGATATTATCGACTAAATCTCTTGATTTCCATTGAAATAGACCCCTTCCGCCAGCCTGACAAATTCCGATGCAAAAATATCATCAATGCAGCGTAAAATATAGAAATGTTATTCTTAGCATCAGGAATATTTGGATACCCCGGCATAAAACATTTTGTTTTTAATTCTGCTATTGAATTTCTCTGGATTGGCTTCTGTAGTTGTTAACCAAAATTGATTGTTATACAGATCGTCAAGCTAAATACAGCAATTACACTTCAGTTGTAAAGATTATCGTATATTACCTCTGCTTTCGTGAAAGTCGAGGGTAGTTTGAGCGTCAACACCCAAACTAAAGTAATTGTTCATTACATTTATAGGAAGCTGTAATAACAGTTAAAATATATAGCTTTTACACATTTATCACGTTAGCATTTAGGTAAAAAAGTTCTCAACATTACTCTAACTGGTGCATCCTCTGCACTTAAATCATAACGTGCTTTCAAGTTCCTCTGGACTTTTAGATTCCACCTTTATACATTTATCGTATGTTCATAAAATTTCGATAAATGCAATAAACGTTGTCAGTTAGTATTATGACGATCAAAGATTTTTATAATAGATTTAGGTGACGTCGAAGAAAAATAACCTGTCGAGCTGAATTATTTGCCCTTCATTTACATACTGGAGGATTTTGTCAACGGATTCGTCGCCATAGCCCTGTCGAAACGGTAGAATCAGAGCAAGATTGAAAGTTATTACTATGGAAATTAAATATCGTATTAACAGTAAATTTGATTTAAAACTTACTGCACCCCAGTATAGTGTTCTCGATAAGTCGTTTCCTGTTCCTAAGGGTAATATTGCGACAGGAGGCCTAGGATTAATATCTAAACTATCCAGCGTAGCAAGTATCCAACCAACCTGAACAAAGTTACCATGTATATATATATCGAATTAATTACGCATCAAACTTAGGTCACTAATACACTAAGAGAAAATTTTAATGCAAACAATTGTAAATTATCAGTTTAATGGGCTTACAGTTCCATCTCCACCACATACAAGTATTTGCAAGTTGGGTGCTTTGCGATAAAACTCCAGACTAAAAGATTTATATAATAAATTATAGTGGCTGCTAAAAATCTAACTAAAATAAGCTTAGAAGTAAAGTATATAGTACTACACACGCAGGTTCAGGTCCGCCTTGTTGTGATAAGTCAAAAACCTAAATGTTAATAGATTTTTATTATCTAATTAGCATTTGAGAAGAGATGTATCATCATTGCAATATTTCAGCTACAAATTCGTCAAGGATAAAGAAATACGATAATTATAATTATTCTGACCTGACGTGGATTAAGTAACCAATGGAACTGATGCAAAATTTTAGCTCCCTACTCGTAAAAGAAAAATAAATCAAGTTTATAGGTCTTAACAAAAATTGTCAGTTTTGACGATACCTGATTTCCCCCGCTTTTAGGGTTTATAAAAACGAGAAGAGGCTTATTACTTGTTGAGGTAATCGGTTTTAGCTAAAGAATGGGTATTAAAATTTCACAAGGGATGTAAAATAATGAATTTCAACAAACAGCTTCACATACAAACCGTGAAAGCAGAGTGAATGGAATTTTCCTAAATAAAGAAATTAAGGAATTCATTAGATGAACTTATCTTACTGTTAATTCGAAAGTACTAGAACCGTAAATAGTAATTATGAAGTAGAAATTACCTTCTTATTGCGCGGTTTCTGTTTGTGCTTGATATCGTCATTTATCTACCCACAAAAGCAAGAAAAAATAGTTGATATTGGTATATTTGATAAACTTTAATATAATTAACTAGACTCTTACGCAAGGAATTTTAACTAGCCAAGAAGGAGGAACTATTTGATTCGCGAGCTGACCAAAGTTGCATTCTTCATTTAGTAAATCTAATGTCCAACATGGCTCTTTCATATGATACTAAAAGAATACTAATGCTTAATTAAAGAAGTAACATAATCGTCTTTACATAAATTTCTGGTAAAAACTTTGGCATTACAGAAACTTTACACCAAGAGCAGATAATGGCGACGAAGTCCTATTTTAGAAAAATGATATTTAAGATAGGATTTTCAAGAAAGATATTGACTAACACTCACCCTTGATGTTTGGAAAAAGAATCCTTGTTGGGATAGAGACTTTAAAAGTAGGGCAGCAAAGAAAGCGAAATATATAGTAAATAGCAAAGAAAACAGAAGCCTCCCTAAAGCAAAATATTATTATATGATACCTTGTTACATTTGCTACATTTACCACTTAGTTTCTTACGTTTAACCCAATGATGACCATATATCGTCTAAAACACACAAATGTTTAAATGTGATTTTACAATCGCATAAGATTATACTTTTTCGGATTAATAAATATTAGGGTGAGCACCCATAAATTTAGCTTCAAATTATAATATTGTGAGAACTATTTATGATACAAACTGTAAATCTGATTTCTGTCATATAGCCAGAGATTAAAAACCATTCAGGAAAATATAACAAAACGGGAATTTACTTGAGTAGCTATAGTATATTCACCTCTTTATCGCCTTTTTGAGCAGGATCATAAAAAGTCGGTCTACAGTAAATATCGTTCTAGAAAAGTACGGGTAGAAAGTCTCATTTAGTTTTGAGATAATGTTATTCAACATATCGCTAATTACAAAATAGTTGCAATCTCGTGACATTAGCCTATTGCTGTTGACGTCGATATTCTGCTTATTACCTTGTATAACATAGGGATACAATCGACATGAGTTACAATCTTGCAAGCTAAATAAAAATTCAGTTTATTTAAGATCACGGTAGACACAGGTAAAAAGAAATTTAAAATTACCAACGCATCTTTTCCTTAGATTTGATTTCTAAAGTGAAACATTCAAAAATTTTTAGCATAGGTAATTAATTGATATGAGTACAGTATGAACTTTGTGCGCGTAATAGGAAGTAACTTTGATAACTGATAAACATAATTTTACAAGCATTGACATGGCAAATTCTTAAAGATAGTTTAGAGAATTGTATTTCTTGCAGATGAAATCGTACAGTGATTTATCTTATACTTTTAGGCTATACCTATTCTAAAACTCACTTACCTGACAATGCTCATTATCAATATCATTCATATAACAGTTATGGCCCGAGTCATAATCTATCCAAATGTGAGTTCCACTTTCGGCGGTTTCCTTTTAAATGAGTAAATGGTCAATAATACATTTTTGTTCACTGAAGATACATAATTATGAGTATACTGTATAAGTGTAGTAAATTAGAAAAAACTGATGTACTGTAACATTTCCCTAATAGGGCAAGGAGTAAAAGAACTAATAAACAATTCGCGGAAATTGCTTAAAAGCAGTATTATAAAAGTACAATAATGAATTCTGAAATTAATTAGCTACTAGCTAGTGCCTTTAGTTAGTGGAGGACTTTTCATTAAAGCATTATGAAAATATTACTGTTACTATTATAGCTATCGATAAAATCAAATTTGGCAGATGTCACATTCATTACGATAGTAGTATTTACGGATAATATAAGATAAAGATACCATCTATAAATTTTACCCCACATATCGTAACTTAGCACTGTTACAGGCAATTTCTTCAATTAGATTTCAGTAGGTAAGTTACCCGCACGATATTACTAATACATCACTTTCCAATACACTAGTACCGTTTGCTGTATGTAATACTATAAATATTCGAGTTATTATCAACTTACACTCCAATCGACAAAATCCTGTATTGTCTGAAAGGGAGTCGTACCAACGACGTCAGATTCTGCATCTTCCTCATCACTTGATTCCGAAGCATTAACGTCATTGGCTTGGCTTATAGCTTTCCTATGATTATATATCATTTAACATAGGTAAAAAACAAAGAACTGACATTACTGAATTGAAATTAATCTAGGTTACGTACTGTACAGTACGTATGTATGTATGTTATGTTGCACATAGCATTATGCCACGAAGCATATTGATAACATTTTTAATGTTTGCAATTTAATGCCGTATGTGAAGTGCGTTAACAAATTGAAACTAAAACGGTATCTTAAAAGTTTAATATAAGAGCTCTATTATTATTACTAATCGCTAAAATAAAGGCTATTTGCGAAAGCATCCATTCATGATTTGATTATATAATATACGAGTTGTGTATATATATAATTCCTAATAATTTTCCTATAACTTAGATGATCAACTGAATAGTCTACTATATCCATAGTCTGATTGTATACCGAGTGCTCTTTATGTCCGCAAAAAAGTGCGAGATAATCGGAAGGACCGAATTATTTTAGTTTTTTCTTTCTTATAGTGGTCTCTGCTATAAATTGACTTGTCGCATTACAGTATTTTGAGGACTGTGATAATAATAATGATTTAATTAACCACGTACAGTACAATACTGGTGTAATAATACTTTACTACTGTTTGATACTTGCTAGTTGCTACAATCAGCCACTACTTTCTCTTAATTGTCCGTGTTACAATGAACTAGCTGAACCCGCACAGTGTACTGTACATATTTTGCGCATTTACGCGTACAGTATACCAGTTCATACAAGAAAATTTTTGCCCTTTTAAAGTAGTGGGAAGGCCCCTTTTTTATACAGTAGTCCATGTTACACTACAGTATACTGCACATTTTATTTAAACTGTTGGTGCATCGTAAATTGCAGTTAAAGCACTACCAAGTAAACCCCTACAAGCAACCCAAACCGGGTTTGCTTCGGTGATCTGATGTATAAAATATTGTAAAAGGTATGAATATTCAGAAAACGCAGTCAGTAAAATTAAAAGACATGTACTGTACTGTACAGTACATAAATCAATGCGTGCCAAATTATAGCAACTGTAAACCTTGTCACACTTATGCGCCCGCTTGTATTACGTTCGCACGTATTCGTATAGCGTAGTATCCGGGCTTTTTGCAGTCGTCTTCATACAGCAAATAGCTTACTGCAAGTACAGTCTACAAGTAAGTGCAAAGTTTTTCTGGAATAGATTTTGCACGTTTCAAAACAAATCGTCGTGAATATCACTCATTAGTCATAACCCAGTACCGTAATGTACTGTATTTCAGTAAGTACTGACGTACTGTACACTTACTAACACCGTAATGTGTAGTACTGTACTGTACACTGTACTGCATTTCCTCCATAAACTATACAAAAAAAGATGAAATTTGTAGTTAGATGATGATTAATAAGATCGCCACCCCCCCTTGACACTACGACTTTACACTCAATTTAAATTGCAAAAGCTGCGATCTCACTAAATCTGCCCCTCCTAATCATTGCGCTGCAAGTGTACGTGACATACTGTAAGTGAAATTCAAAAACAGTGAACCCTACAATACCAGAATAATCACTTGCCAACACAGTTTTGTAAAGTTTCTTAACGTTCTGCCCATATAACTATTTAAAATTTAAATCATCTTGTATCTTCGTCGTATACAGTGCCCTAGTCCTAACCCTAACATCATGTATATATTACAATATCTTAGCTATATATGTCTACCGTTACCTTATAATTTACGTTATCTTCATACACTTCGTAGTAATGTTAACACTGCTTTACAGTTAATAATGACACTCCTTGGATTACAGCTTAGTAATACTGTACCTAAATGGCTTTTGTTTTCTCTTCTTGGTATTCTCTTTTCGCTTGGTAGGCATACTTGGCACTTGAACTGGTGAATTGTAATTCATTCTGTTTGTCTCTCCGAAGTTATGAGTTGCTATAATTAACTGTTGTACTGTGGATGCTATATGAGTTCCACCAACACCATCATCCTTGTCGACCATTATCCAATGAAATATGTCAAGACGAGTTTACTACATTTAAACATAAAACTAGCACAATTAATAGTGTATTTAGACTACTACTGTGTGGAACTATTGATCAAGCAATACGGAACCGTGTTTACTGAATGAAGTGTAGGTATGCTTTGAAATTTACAAACTTGCACTAATCACTACCATCTAATAAGGATTTCGTTACTTTTAGCAAATCGAGATGTCGGTAATTCTTATACTGTGCAGTATAAGATAAGTTATTAATACAATATACAGTATACTGTACACTATACAGGTACAATACCGTATAATTAATTAACAAGAAGTTCTTATAACAGCTTATGCTTGTGCGCAGTACAGTTATTTTTACTGTACTGTACTGTACAGTGTACACTAGGCCCAGCCATAATAACCCCGATTACTCAGATACTCAGCGTAAATAGCTTATACTGTACGATGATACATTATTCTAAGAGTCTTGTACAGTACCGTACAGTACTGTAAATAAAATGATAAAATTCATTTTATACTGTACAGTACAAGTGTACAGTGTACAGTACTGTACAGTACATAAACATGGAATTATTAAGTTGAGTTGTTGTACAGTACAGTACAGTATGTGGCTACAGTACCAAAATTCGCGCTTTCACTTCTCTACAGTACAAGTTCCCATCCTTAATTTATCCAAATACAGTACTGTACAGTACGAACTCTATCCATGGTGGACCTTTTCGTACCACATTACTCGGTCAAGTTTGCCTGCACGTTTCGCTGTGCAGATTACCTTTTCAGTTTTTCTCGCAGTTTTTGCATGAAGATCAATACACTTTACAGTAAAGTATACAGTATACTCTACGTTGGCCTTTTTCGTACTACAGTACTGTACCGTACTGTACGGCACTACAATTTTTAGTTCGCTATCATACCCTCCTGTTTCGGAATCCGATCAAGCACTCTACGGCTCATAGTGTTCCTTAAAAAGTTCATCGTGTGAACATACCTTTAAAAAATAACTCCCGGCTTTTACGTATTGTACAGTACAGTACAGTACGTACAGTAGAGCGTTGAAATTGTACCGTACTACACTTTTGTCCACTTTTTTTTATCTGAAATCAAAAGAGCTATACAAAACTGTACAGTACAGTACAGTCTTTGCTGTAACTCCAGCCATACACTGCTCAACTAAGATTTCCTCCCCCTCAAAGTCGTAACCCCAAATTTTCCCTTATAGCGCACTGTAATATAACAGGGTATCTTAAATGTTAGGTATTGCCGTATAGTACACGTAGTGTAGAAGATCTCTTACAGAGTATAAAGAAAGGTTAAACCCTAAAAGCCCAAAAATCGAAATTGGAAATTTATGAAAAGTAAATTTTTGTAAATACAGTATATACTGATGTACCAATAGAATTGCCTTGTTTACAGTATTATACGCATAGCTTACTAAAATTTAACCTACAATTGTTCTTCATACTACTCCTTTTACTTTCATTGGTAACATTTTGTGATTGTTTCGTAAACGCCCGGCAGTATACTACGTGTAGCGAACACTTCATGATAGTAAATTTCTATTGTTCTTGATTCTTGTATTTATTAGAGGCATGCATAAGAATACAGTCTCACGCATAACAATAAAAAAGAAAGAAGAAGATTGTGTACTATACTGTATGTTGCTACAACAATTACCATTCCGTAAAGTACTGTATCGCAAATTCAAAGTTTCATCAATAGTTATATTCTTTAAATATAGATGTTTTTAAACATTTCTAAGTACTAACTTAATTTGCCAGAAAATATTTGACCGATTTCGGACGATTTCATGGCATTTATAGAATGAAAGGATTGTTTTGCGCTTGAGAACTACAAGTATCATCGTTAATAAACGATTACGAAGCAATATAAATTATGAGGTAATGGCACGTTTTACATATACGGGTATATACTTAACTGCATTAATTTCAACGAATATACTATGAAAAGGCAAGAGGTACGAAAGTATCTTAAATTGATTAATCAATCTCAAGACAGCGAACTGGCAGTGAAGAGTAGCATTGGACCAACAATTAACACAATTGAAGGCAGTCGAAGTGTAGCAAATAAAATATATGATATTTCTAATTTCGGTAACAAACGTCCAGAGCATTTAATTTCGAATACTTCGAAAGCGATTCCCAAACATCAAATAGTTACTGATAAAAATACTATCATTTTGCAAAAAGATGAAGAAGTCCAGAAAGAGTTGAAACAATATGATGCTTTTCAGCTTCAAGTCGGTAATGATGCCGCAGTTGACGCCGTGAATAAGCGAAACTTTGGTAAACCATTCATTCAGACGAAAAACCAAAGAGGAACCCCTCTTTTTATTGCAGATTACTGTTCATATACTAATTCACAAAACAGTGATGATCTAAATTCTCCCAAACTGAGCATAAATCAAGAATTACATGACGTAAATTCCAAGAGGAAGCTTCTCTTCACTCGCACTGCAGTTAGTAAAAATTCACACCGTATCCTTATGATGCCTGATCGCTTTCCTGTAAAAAATCCTCCCTCAACTAATAATCTAATGCTAAATAGAAGAAAAGACATTAAAAATGAAAGACCGACAACAGCAATAAAGTTACCGTGGAATATAGAAGACAAGATACATATATGTTTGGAAAAAAAGTGTGATAATATTCTTAATCGTAACAGATACATTTCAACTATCAAAAGCAATAATTTACGGCAAAATCGAAAAAGCGATGTCAGGCCTGATCCGATTTTTCCAGTAATAAGTCACTTAGTAACAGCTAAAAAGCATTCAAGATTCATATGTAATCGCAATAGTAGACAAAATAATTCATGTCCAAATACACGTACATCATCCTATGTCCCTTCTGCTTCCGGAGGGATGTTTAGATTAAACCCTGCACCAATGACTAAGGAATTAAAGGAGAAAATTCTCTTAGAAAAGGAATTATATGAAGCGGACTTTGCTAAAGAAATTAAAATCGATACCGTTCTTCAGGTCTTAGATTTATCTGGTGAGTTATAAATATAACTAAAGATATCAAATATCATTATTTTGTTTTGTTACCAAAATAATAACTGCTCTAACCGTCTTAATTTCTTTCTGTACTTATACAGATTCAATTAAATCATCTGTAAAATCGAGAATCAATAAGAATAGAAAAAAAACTTTCCGACAAAATGTTCGATTTAGTCAGAATATGATCGAAATTTTTGAGTACTGGCCTCATTCCCCAATCCTACCATGAAGATCTATAATAATTCGGACTTCAGTATTTGTAGTAAGCCCCGATTTTTCTTCTATCATTTAAACAGTTTTAATCTTAAATCCTATTCCCGTACTAAGTAAAGCGTCCTATTATCTAAATCTAACTTAATGTGACCTTTTCATTTAGCCTCTTTTTTAATCGTAATGCGAAAAAATATACAATGTGATATGCATACCGAGACCGCCGTACATTACTCTATACGACTTCAATTAGTAGCACAATTTACCTCAAAATATCAATTGCATGTATTGTCTGAACAACTAATAAACTACACAACTCGTATTAGGTATCAAAAATATATAAAGTAAATCGTTCATTTAAATTTTCGCAGTAAGACGAATTTAGCACTAACTTCATAGATAATAATTATACGGGTATATCATTGGTGAGATTGTTGTGTTAAAGGATAGCAATAAAATGGCGAATTTCAATTCGAGAATATTTTTAAAACAGCGAACTACTCTTTCTTACTCAAGGCACTACAATAGTATGAAAAAAATCTTTGGCTATAAGTTACTAACATCGGATTCCTTACACGATAATGTAACGAGTAACGGTTCTATTAGCAGCACTGATTGTGAATGATTACTATAAGTAATTGCCATATTAGCTCAGAAAAAAATTTAACATCTTGATAGCTATAATGATGGTACTATCAAGTGAAAATGTAGACATTATGTAACCAGCTGCTAATCATGATCTTATTATTCTAGCATAAAATGACAGGACTTCTGAGTAATTAAGGGGTTATAAGTAATTATTGTATACCTATTTAAGAATAGAGGAAATTAGAGTATTTTCTTTAGTAGTCAATTTTATCTTTCCTGTACGCTAGCTAGACTTTGAAAATTATCAATATTATTGTTATAAATTTAAATTCGTAGTGACAAAAATAGAACTTTTACAGAAAACTAAAACTACTTTTAGTTGTACTGTCAGGTTTATCCTCCTAACATCTACCTACTGTGCGACTCTAAATACTGACTATTTCCTATTATAATTATCAGAAGGAACAGTAACAACACTATAAACAAAACTGAACTCAAACTTTATTGAAAAGTCAATTTATAGTAAATCTACATAATCATTAATTATCAATTTATAGATAATATCATACAACTGTGCAATTATCCTTTAAAAATATATAAAACATCATAGATAAATTAATATTAGCCATTCCTAGATAAGTTATCTTGCGGAAACTATGTTACGACAACTTGGAAAAATTGCTCCGCAATAACCATACGTATAACAAGTATTGCTACTTACTAAAATTTTTTATATTCCATAGTATTAGTTTCTAAATACTGTACTTTCTAACGATTGCGATTATAATTAACTGCAACTGCAACGTACGGTGTAGCAGAATTCAGATTTTTTTAAAGATTGCTACATATTCGGTACCTTTTCGTCCTACTGTAACTGTGCTCGTGTACCACCTGTACGTATTATACAATGAAGAGTGGGATAGATTTTCTTGTGCTCAGTAATAGATACTGAATTTTTTGTGAAAAAAGCTACACCGGATTTCGTGGCTAGTTGTATCAAAATCATTTGACCATACTGTTCAGGCTTGTAATAAAAGTACCTCACAAATAAGTGTCTTAACCAAAGGAATTAAAAAAAAACTTTTATTACAAAGCTTAGGAATAGTAGAGCAACGAATAATTGCTGCAAGAATCTACTCTAAAGTATTCTGAGTTCACAGTGAAGTGATGTCTCTAATGTGAGCTCATCTCTGCAGTTCTTAAATTCATTTCATTAAATTCATTTATGATAACACGATTAGCTACAACTAGATTTAAGACGTCAAACAAAATACTTTTCCTTAAATGGATTATCATTATGTTCTACAATCTGAATCAATATACTTAAAATATCGCTACTCTTCTATTAATGCCCAGCATCTTTCGGTGCTAATTAACCGTAATTTAACTGCAAAATATATTTTCTACAGTATACAGAATGTACCTATAATAAAACAACATAAATGATCATCAATCTTAAATTAGAACCCTGATTAGAACGTTCGAGTTTCCACTGTATTTTATCATAAAGTAATGTCACTTCAACTGTAAGTTCTAGTCAAAATTAGCTGCTAGTTTTTAATCAAGATTGCAGTTTAAATACTGTGTTATAGATAAATTTATAGTCTTGCATTATGAAACTCTTAATAAAGTTAAGTTATCGAACGTTATTAAATTCCAACCCGAATAAAGTGGTCGGGTTTACGATATACTAAAATAATAAGTAGAATCTACCGTAATTAAATCAAATTAAGTTACTTTTAAAGTTACAATACTTACTAAAGTTAAAAAAATTGAAGGAGAATTCTAAAAATTAGCCTTTATTACAATTAGGATACTGGTGGATAGTGACAATAGTGAAAACTTTAATAAGCTACGTATGTAATTACGTAGGTACATTACGCAACCCAAAAATATAATATTAGAGAAGGGCTACTATAAAATATAGTATTTACGCTAGCAGTCATTGTAATAAATATGCTGCATACGTATCTTTGAGAGATATCTATCTCTCTATTGTGTTATACGGCACCAATAATCTATAATTTGCTTTTATACCCTCCTTAGGACTGTTCATGTGTTCTACGATAGAAAGTAATACCGTACGGAACTGTGTGTAATAGGTATACTGATCACTAAGTAATAATCTGTACGGCAAAGTGTACGGAGCAAAGCTAGATCCGACTGTACCCGTTTTACAACGGGTATTACGTAGCTAGTAGTTATATATTACTTTAAACCAAGTCACATCATGTCGCATACTGAAAGGCAACTAATCAAAACATGAATTTTAGCAATCGTAGAGAACGAATTCGTAGCTGAACAGACTAAAAGATACAACGAAGATCATGAATGGCAAACGAGCCCGTTAAGGTTAAGGGACTGTAGTGATTAATAGAAAATCAATTAACATTAATCTAATGTAGCTTGATCTTGTAAATGATAAATGTAGTTAAACCATTCCATTGACAAGCTATCGCAATAGTCCAGTGTAGAACGTATTTTCGGGAACTATTATGTCGTGATAATACTGTACACCTCTGCATACACTTAATTTTATTATAACATAGAATTACAAAATATATGTAATGAGAAAGTGTAGTAATAGTTCGCATAGATGCTCAATATTGCTGGTTACTAGCACTTTTAAATGATACAGAATTAGTGAGTTCAAAGGCAAAATTTATTACAATGTATCAACTTTTGCCGCATCATATTTCTAGCATTAATATTGCAAAACACCGAAATAGTATTGTACCTACTGCTTGTAAAGCTTTCGAGTATTGAAGTCTTTACTTTGCCTAGTTTCAAATCCTCCACACTTACAATTTCCATAGTTGAAAAAAGCAGAATACATTTGAAATGCATCTTATCTTCATATTATATTAGCTTAATATAATTGAGTACATGTAATCCAGAATATACAGTGATGAGCGTTATGGCTATCGCGATGATAGGTATGCATTGCACTTATTTTTATAATGTTATAGTTATTTATGAATTTTATTCAGTGTGTCAACTTCTAATAATTACTGCATTTTTAGTTTCGGAAGAACAAACGTTGGCTACAATCGAGATATACTTTGTGAACATTCAATTTTCAGATTTATATCAATTAATCTTTTCCGATATGTTGAACAAAGAGACTTTTCCAATCACTAAATCCGCTTGATTGAGAAGTTTTAACACTCTATTCTTGAGGACTAAAGTTCTTAAATAAAGATTTAGCTTCCTCTTGACTAATTAAATTACCACCCCAACGTAACTGATGTAGATTTTTAATGTTATTAATTATTAATTTTAATCCTCCTATGGTTATTTTGGTGTCACGAATATCTAATTCTCTCAAACGACAACTTTCGTGCTCTAATAGTATTTTGATATATTTCATTGCTTTGTTGCCTAATACATTATGACTGATATTTAAGTACTGCAAATTCTCTAACTGACCATGATCCCTGACAAAATGATCAACGAGTCTTCTTATGCCAGATGCGCCCAAGCAATTTTCACTTAAATTTAAACTGTGTAATCCTTGACTAAGATTTTTAAGCCGGTCTGTAATAAAATCTATTGCATCGTTTGTCAATTCACAGCCTTTTAAATCGCAGATTTTAGATTCCTGTATTTTCTGATTTCCTTCGCCATTAAATAAATGGCTGCATTTAACAAAGCCTTTGATACTACTTATAAATTGATCATCGGATGTTTTTGTGTCGTCACTTTTATCGAAAGGTTGAGTGATTCTATACTCAGCGTTTGCTATAATCTCCAACAAATAAAGTTGATCATGAAATTTTTCGATTATTGTTAAAGCATTTTCTTTGTTAAGTTGATTCTTGAATAAGTTTATTGTACGAAGGTGTCGAAATTTCGTAGACTCTATCGCAGTCAATAGATAGAGAACCCCATCAATCGTAATATTGTTATAATCCAAGCCTACGTATCTTAATACCGGCATAAGATGTAAAACTTTTGCTAAAGGTTTTACATTCTTGTCTTGTAACTGATTCTCAACTAGATGTAGATCAGTTAAGTTCGAAAATCCATCAAGTTGAATTAATTGGACCAATGGAGTAATATCACATGCAGAATTACTGAAAATCCAAGATAAATTTAAAACTTTAACACAATTTTTGGCATAAGATAAACAATCAATAACCGTCGATCGTTCGATTCCAAAGTTATCTAATGATTTTACCGCGAAATTGTCTTGACTTAATATTTCACAAAGGACTAGCAGGCCCTTTTCACCAAATGGATTCCCACCTAAATGTAGTTCGTCTAATTTCGCGATGGCTACAGCAGGTATTAATTTATATAATATTGTGTCCGTAATATCGCACCAAGACATTCGAATCCCTCCTAAACTTTCGCCCATACTTGCTATTCCATCGGCAAACTGATCGATGTCATCTCCAGCTAAAGAATTTCCGATAATATTTAATTTGTCTATTTCCATCAACTTTCCCCTCATACATTTTCCTAATATATTAAATCCTTTTGCAGTCAATTTATTGCCTTTCAGATTTAATGACATTCGCATTTTGATCTTAATGTCAGCTAAAAGCTTGGGTAAAATATTCATTGTAGAGTCATCAATTTCACATTTGATTAGTTTTAGTGTGTTATCTGTGTCGGATAGTATTCTTCCACTAATTATCGGAGATTTTAGAAGGGGTGCCAAAGCTTCGATACCAAGCATGCCGAGTGGATTATAACTTACGTTGAGACTAGAAATTTGACAATCAGGATCAATCATAGCGTTCACGTAAGCTATAATGCCTGCCTGACTAAATCTATTGTTTTCTAGGCGTAAAGAATGTAAGCAGTCATTACCTTGTAACCCCTCACATAAAGATATGACCCCTTGATCACCCAGTCGGTTGGATCGTAAATCCAAGGTATATAAAGTGCGATTAACTTTTAACATTCTTCCGAACTCTCGTCCACCGTCAGACCCGATATTATTTCGTAAGAGTATCAAATTTCTAATTAAGAGATCTTTGTTATTGATAATGGCTTCAGCAATGGCAGTTGCAATAATATCACTGATACCTGCATTTGTTAAGTCGATAGTAGTCAAGTTATTTTGGTTTTGAATGAGTAATTGGAGGTCTTCGTATGCAACATCGGGAATATGGTGGCCAATGGTAATTTTAAAAATTTTATCATTATCTTTTATAATGTGCAAAATATCTCTAATACCCTCCTGAGTTAGTTTCATTGTAGCTGGTAGATTAAGGGTTCGTATCATTTCATCTTCTTTATCCACGAACGCACTTACCAATAAATTAGCAGTATTAGTATCTATTCTTGCACATGAGATCCTCTTCACAAGCTCTCTTTTCGCCGGCAATCGCTTACCTATTTTCATTTTTTCAACCGCATTGTCTGTAAATTCAGAACTACCCTTCATAAACCCAGCACCCGAAAAATGCGAATCTTCGTATATATCCTTCTTTTCAGTTTCTGCCATTTCTTCAATCTTCTTCTGGCACGATTCTAGACTATCTTGAATACTAGCTATCTTAGCCTGTTGCTGACGATATAATTTCAATAGCTTTTCCAATGCTATGACTTTATCTGATTTCTGAGCTCGTACAATTTCAATTTCTTTCCTTTTCTTCTTGAGCTCTTGTTGTACCTCCTTCACATTATCACTATGGACTGAATTATCTGCAATAGATTCTAGAATCTCGCTTAGCTGAAAAATCTTTTTTTCAAATTCGTCAATTTCACGGGTTGCGTCGTTAATACTTTTAATGAGGCTATTTCTTACTTTTTTTTGTTTTCTCATCTCCTCTTCCAATGCCTTAATCCTTGCTTCATATTCTTTAATGCGCTTTTTGACATTTCCTGTTGATCTTCGACCTTTAGCGTCAATCAATAATTTTTCAAGCCTCGACCAATTCATAAATGTGCTACATGTTAGCAACTTATTAGCTAGATCCGTTGATATGATTGATATTGCTGTATATCTGTCCATGTTTTGGAAAAGCTCCTTCAAAGGATCGTCTGGGTGATGAATTATAATTTTTGCAGGAGCATTTTCGGTTAATTGTTGTAACAATTTATTCTTACTTTCAGTTATTAATCGATAATCATAGGTATAATCTCCTTGGGCATACAAGAAGATCGGTAAAATCCAGATAATGTCAGCAGTAGGGTCTCTCATAGCGTTGATTATATCGTCTACGCGATCACGCCATGAGTATAAGGATGATTCCAGATAACGCCGAAGGAGTTTCAAATATACTTTATTGATGATCTGATTCCCAATCTTTAGTAAGAATCTTTCACTAGGTAAGTTAACTAATAAATTACTTACGCATTCGATAATTATTTGCGTATCGCATAGCAAAGGCAGCAAGATTCGAACGGTTTGAATCGTCATGATTAGACATTCACTAATGTGTAATTTTTTAAGCGGATCAGTACGGCTGATTTTTTTACTACTTGTTGCAGTGTACAGTACAGTACTGTACGTGTATGAGTTAACATGCACTATGCACGCGTACTATCTAGTGCGCTACAATGCAGTAGTATACAATAATGAGTGGGTACAAAGTAATTAATCCGCTATTATCACCTTCACGACAGTACAGTGACCAATATTAATTCAAATTATTAATAAAATAAAATTTACAGTATATTTCTACTGTATACTTCTTATGTTACTTTTTACTTTTTATTTTGCTTTTACGTTATTGAAGGAACGTTGGGAAGTGTTGGTATACAGTACCGTACAGTGTACTGTACAGTGTATACCTGCTTTAGAGCACTTGAGAAGTAAAAAGCTCGTAAAGGAATCAATCAAGGGTGACTCTCGAAAGTTATGATAAAACGGCAGTTTCAACTCAGCATGAGCCCTTTCTCTCCGAACGTAATAGTTTATCTATTTGCGGCTAGTTAAGTTGAGGCAAAGTAGCTCAAATTAGACATTGTAATTGACAGTGAATACTGCATTGCGCTTTACGCGTTTACCGCATGCAGCATACAGTCCTGAGATCATCATTATGGTCACAGGACTGTAGCATAACAATGATATTATTCATTGTACTGTACAAGATACACTAATTGTACAATACTTGCAGTCCGCGACAGCATCGAGGAACCATCATAATCATGTATTTGCTTTGCCGGTTTAACCTTGATTAAGCTAATGCCCAAAATCAAATTGTACTCATCTTTGCCGTTTTATTTTCATTTATTGTTTTCTGATCTATTATTTTTGTATAAGTTTGGATATTTTCGATTTTTAAAATAATTCTCTTCAGCAAGTTTAATAATGAATGCATCTGTAGAGCCGTCAGCGAATATACACCTACAGTATACTTGACCATCTCCTTCTTCCGAGTATGGTAGAAACAGGCGACATCGCCTGGTAGAAGTTGCTGATTGCCGTAGAGAAGTTGTACACTGAAGAGTAGTGTTCCAACAAAAATCTCGATTCGATTCGGTTCGAATTTCTCGAATCTAAAGAGTACTAGATAGTCGCTCGTTACACTGCTGTAGTGCACTGTATGTACATTATACATATATAATTTCCCTGACTAAGCATTTTACTGAAAATATTATTAATAAAATAGCGAAATCCATGCAATATAGTGCAATTTTAAGTTAATAACAGCGTGACACACATGCAATCACATTAATATAATTAATATAATTTGATGATTAATTGAAGGATTTTATTACGTAAGATAAGCGAGTGATACAATTCTACATCTGAAAATAACAATAGTATCAGTCAGTCATAAACCGCGATATTTTAATGCCAAGTTAATTAGTTAGCCTCTTGAAAAAGCGAATATAGTAATAAGGGGCATTTGCTTAATTGTCAATGATTTTAGTAATAAACCGAAACTTTTAAGTGAGAATACAAAAGTACGTGCGTACGATTATTATAATTAACTTAGTTGGCCATAATAATTCGGACTAAAATAGCTATTTCTTTATTTTAGGAACTGTAATATGCATGACACATAATTGCAGATATCATAGCCAATCGCGCCAGCGTCTAGTACTATATAACATACATGTATCATTACAATAGTTTTATTAAAGTTTAACTTGAAGTTATCCTTATTATTATTATTATTATTATAAACATTCCTGAGGTTGCCGGAAGTAGAATAAAAAGCAAACCCTTAAATATCAGACAATAGGAGCTATATCACTGCGATCCTATTTACTAATCTTCTCGGCATGTACCCAAAAATATTACAGAAATATAATATAGTGCTCGTATTTACTCGTATTAACAGTAGGATTTTTGTTTCATTTCTTACATAGGAAATTATCAATTTCGTGTCAGTTTCGACTCTCAATTGATGAAAGACTGACAGTTAAACACAGTAACTAGTGAAGGTAGATATTTAGTAACATGCATTTGTAGAGCAACGCACGCGTAAAACAATGTTTTAACTAACGACCAACGCTAAGTGCTGCGATTCGTGAGGGCAAATCAAAAACTACTAAAGAGTAAAGACTACTTTTCTTTAGTACTGTCTGGTACGGCATTTGAATATCTCTAATAGGAGTAGCAAGTAGATACTGGTATAACGATTTCATACTGAGTAATTCGTAATAAGTTTGCTTTAATATATATGAAAATAAAATCAATGAACAGCAATAGTAATAATAAATTGACATATGATTCTCATCTAGCAGTAATTCAGTTTATATACAATCTATGTAATATTTTTAAGGACTGGCACTGCAAATTATAAATACTAGTATTAGTGCCCTACACTTCATATTAAATGTTAAAATGATGTATCATTGGCAGTTCTCAATTCCGAGATGCCATTCATCTCTTCAAAAAATTCATCAAGGCCATTAATTGGCTTCAATCCCGGTGCTATCTTACGACATAAAGGGCAGCGCCTACAATTATTAGCTTTCATCTCCTTAACACAGGAATCGCAACCAATAATTTGACCACAACAAGTTGCGAGAATAGCCGGTGGTTTAATTACATCTTCACAAATACAGCACGTAAATGTTTGCTTTGATCTATTCACAAAATTTTCGTATACTGGCCTTTTTTTGTTCATAAACGATTCGCAAGATTTAACATTAGATGCTGTACCCTCATCCTCATCCAGAAATATTAAAGGTATTTCAGAAGAAAATTCGACAATCATAATTTCAAAAAGAGAACGAAGGTCGCTTCCCGGCTATATTTTTAAAGTTGATTGGAACAGTCAAGTGTTGGGGAAACACAAAACCATAATTAATTAAAAAGTAATTGATAAGTAATGATTTTTACAAACCCATTTCCAATCTTCAAGATAGGATAAAGAAATCCGACAGTTAGAGTCAACCATACCAGTAGTTAAAAGTTCTTGGTTTTCCTCTGGGCTGATAAAACAAATCGGAGCAGATAATGGAAAGTTTTTTCGAAGATACAATGCGATTGGTACAGAGTGACGAACTCTTCGAAACTCAGCAGGAATTACTAGAAAGAGGATTAAATAAAGCGCGTTAAGATAGTGTCATACGCCGGCGTGGTCTATGATCCGAATTTAGGATTAACGTAGAACTGTATGATCGGTAATCACAAACTAATTGCATTGTCTTATGCACAGGTGTATTTACGGGCTGTATGTACGCGGCAAAGGTGGCCATTAACATTTAAATCGTTACCATAAACTATTAACCGCAAACAATAATCTTTTAATTATGTAGACTGCATAATATACGCAATTTGACACTTTTATCTAAAGAACTAATCGAGAAAAATAATTGCAGTAAATTTCAAATTTCAATTATAGTACATGTAGTGATGCACCCATATTTGATTATACAGATAGCTATATTTGATATAGTTAGGTTGCTTTGAATAGATATTGCCGTCAAGAAGAGTAGTGACATAAGTAGAATGATTTAGATTTTCTACTTAGATTGTAGAAAATAATGATGTACTATTAGAGAAAAGTATTTTGTTTGATGACTTATGTCTGATTGTAGATTAATCAAGTTGTCATAAATGGATTTAATGAAACTGCAGAGATGAGCTCACAGAGGAGAAGAGACCTCACTTCCCTTTGAGCTTGGAATACTTTAGATTTTAGACTAGATTCTTGTAGTAATTAATTATTGCTCTACTATTCCTAAAACCTTGTAAGAAAAGCCTTTTAGAAAATACCATTGACTAAGATAGCTATTGTGAGACGTAACTATTACAGTACATTAGGTAATTAACTATTCAAAAGACGTAAGATGAGGGTAAACTGTAGTAGATCAAAGAGATTGACATTACTATAAAATTTTAGATAAAAGACTTAAAATAAAATTACTATATTATATTTATACACACTATTATATGGATTACTGAAACTGAACTTTGAAATTGGACAGTAAACTAGCAATTGCCTACGTCACTATACTATACTAATCTACAGCGCACACTACGAGAAGATAGTTCATGACTAACTAAAACCAACATTAGGATGTAACCTGAACGAGAATACCAATGGTACCTACCGGAACTATTTATGGGAACTGCTCCATTTATTGTTAATAACTGCTCAGCCCTTCCATCCGTGAAGACTGCAGATAAGATATCAATTAAGTAATCAATAGCCATTTTTAAAATTTTCATTGCGATACGTGAACAATAAAATTTACCTATTAAGATTGATTAATTGATTGAGTTTGTAATATTAATAAATCTTACCATGTTCTGATATCTTGATATCGAAAGAATTAAATAGCTTAACCGCATTTATTATTTCAGTAATAATTTCTGATCGATAGCTGTACTACAGTGATTTAAAATACGAATGCAATATTACATGTTTGCAGGGTTATCATCAATTAATTACTCGTATATACACGTGTAAATTATCTCAATTAATTCTTGCATGCTGTATTTTGGAACTTATGTATCATATAGTACTGTAATGACGTTAATATTAATATTATGACAAATCGTATTACAGAATGTAGATAGAACCGTGAAAAAAACTTAAATATGTACTCGTATATATTATACGTGTACAGTATACAGTATTTACAGTGTGACTGTGGCACTAAATTAGTCGAGTTAATACAATCCACAGCCGAAATATAAAACTACAGTGTCATTTCGAGTTGAAACATTTCACTTTTTCACATTTGATTAACATACTAATTAGTATATTACCTAAATAATAAAATCCATTTTACCGCAGTTTTACATACGTATACAGTACAGTACTGCAGATTTTAGTCTAAACTTTCGCATACAGTGTTCAATAACACTGACAGTCACGGTTTTAGAGATAACAGTAGTGTACCTCGATCAGACATTTCGAAAGATGTTCTTGCAGCTCCATGAACTCTACGTGGCTGTGATATATACCAATCACGAGATTCTAAATTTTAGAAAAATAAGGGCTTTATTGAATCTTATACAAAGATTAACTACACACAGCTCTACTCTAGCCGAATACTACCTCTAAAGACTTCTACAACGAACTAACAGAATAATCTAAAGTTGTATGCTTTTATACTTTCCGTAGCATTCGCAGCTACAATCCGCATAGCAACCTTTTACCTTATTTTACACATAGTTAACTTATTCTTAGTAAGACTATTCTACTGCGGACCATCATTAATCCAACATGGATACGACTACAGTACTTACGTAGACATTATTCACACCAGCCAAAGTACAATAAATTAACCATATCCTAATATACTATGTATGATTTACAGTTCTATTTTTACCTATAACTTTATTAGTAACTCAACAGCTTACTGTATGTATATAGTCATCTGTACTCTAGCATAGAGTCTATACCACTACAGTCTATAGTTATAGCTACCAGATACTGTACTGTACAGTACCGTATCTCTTAGGATAAATATCTACCGTACAGTACAGTACATAGAAGCAGTGATGTGATAGCAATAAATAAATAAAAATGAAAATATTATAAAAAACACTGGTGTGTGTACAGTACAGTACCCAGGATAGACCGCTGTTACACGGTAAAAAGTTACTGAACCTCTGACAGGTCTATCAAATGGTAATACTATCTGTTAAATGAGCACATTATCGTAAACCGTCAGCAAAGCGACGGGAGTTTGCACTAGTGTCTTTAAATTATAAAGAAATGTACTTTAAATTTGGCTCAAATTCCATGCAGATAGATCAATAGTACAACCTTGAGCAATTGGCTCTTGATATTTGAAGTCACTTCGTAATATCGGTCTACTGTATACAGTACTGTACTGTACTGTACTGTACATATATATGCACTGTGCAGGTTGCTATACTGTAGTATTAATAAATAAAGAGTTTCAAAACATAATCTCGAAAGTGGTTCATACCAAGTGTATAGTACTGTACGTATATACTGTACGTTCCACCCTGTAAAGTCCCAAAGACTCTACCAAACCATCGACAGGTGTAAGTGTACAGTACTATGTATCTGTACGCGAACGTAGCATAACAAATACCGAAGTTATTTCCGAAATGGCTGATTCTAACGTTCATAGCGATGACAAGGTACAGTATATTTAAATTCTAGAATGATTATTAATTATCATTAACAATTATTTATCGGGAAGTTTAATTTAAGTTAATAGTAAATATTTCGCTATTCTTACAGATTGTATTTGAACAAGATGGAGTTTACATCCATACCGCCGTACCTTCTAACGAAGATATTTGCGGTAAACTACGAATCGTTGACAAGGTCTGTTTACCAATCCTAAATCCTTAATACGTGTAGTTTAATGTGCTTTGGTAATGCAGCAAAGCCCTACGAGTTGATTGCAATTTTCCGGAGCGGAGTCGGAGTAGAAAATTAGCAAATGACAGAACACTACTGTAGTGTACAGTATTCACGAACATTTAATTTTTCATCTGCTTTCTGTATTGTGCATAAAAAAGTACAAATGTAACTGCAATACGCGCTATAGAAGGATTTGCTGATTTCGCCGCTTATATATTTCTTGAATTATTCCATTACAAATGTAATAGAAATGATTCTATTGAATATACTATTTATACCAACCACCCTCCAGTATTATGTAACTCTTCCCGGTAGAATGTTTTAGATGGCTGTACGAACATAATCATTCATCATTCTGACTTTATATACAGTAAATACGAGTACGTGTGTATACTATAAATTTCATAGCCAGTATACGAACCTCCCTGAACTGGTGCTTTTGTACTTTTACGTGGGCCTTTCGTTAGACTTGAAGCTGCTGTTCATAAATTTTTAGTAAACACTATTCTTTATGTTCTTTATATTGCTACAATATCTAATGCTATTTAATTGTGTTATAGGATGGAAAATGTTACATTGCTTGGAAGCCAAATCAAATCGCCGATACTAGCCTAACCGCTACTTCAGTGTCTGGTTATCAAGAAGACGATCATGATTGGGCTTTCATTAATCCCTTCGAAGAAGCCATTTCAACAGCCTTCGGTGTGATCATATATATTCATTACTATGCGTGCATAGATAAATTTCTATCCGTAGTATTTAAATTATGTTATCATCGCTATAAAATATCCTTCGTTCGAAATCCATTTGCTTATTGCATTATTAAATTTATCAGCTGATGACTATTTTGCGTTTACTTAATTGATCCAATACTATTGATTGGGTTAGCACACCATCGAAGAATAAGGACATAAGATACTTTGCTAGTCGTAACATTACATTTAGAATACCTTAGTAGTTCATCTTTTGTTCTGTAGGTAATGATGGAAGCGATTGCGAAAAACTTATCCAAAGAGGATATAAAATGCATATACGGCTATCTTCTTTGCATTCTATCAAGACTTCTGATTCAAATATGGGTTGGAAGTACTTAATATTTGTTCTCCAAGATGGAGCTGTTTTGCCCGCTCTCCATTTTCATAAAGGTGGCAGTAAAGAAGTATTACAGTTCTTAGAACGCTTTGTTTGGTTATCGATGTAAGTTTTACTATCTGTATGCCATGAGTATAAAGGTTCGTTCTCTTACACTTCGGTTATCGTATTATTTTGCATTTTAAATTTTCTGTAAATAGATCTCCAAGTAATCCCAACTGTTTACAAGTCATTGATAACCGTAATGCCCTACATCATTCTTTAACTCAATTACAAATTTTTAATGAAGCGCCTTCAATGTCTGTATGTACTGTCGATAACGGCTAAAGAAAAATAGTAAAATTGTTACACTGCTAGTATGATAGTCATTTAAACAGAAACGCTGATCACTATTGCAGAGATTTTTGAAGGACGCTTACGTGGAAACAATGGTTGGCTTCTCTCGTGTGACTAAATTAATGTGGGATGCCTTTGGATCTGCAAATATAAACGAAATTGCTAATAATGAAAAAAAAATTGAAATTGATTGTACTCCGGGGATCGCCGTTAGTAGTTATGAACCTGGATTTGAATTCGTTACCTGTGTAAGACTTTCAAGTTTTACAACTGTTTGAAATGGTATCAAAAGTATAGGAATTTTTTATTTCAACCTGTTTATGCGTCCATTATATTTTAGAACAAATTGGGGGATGACCCCGCAGTCTCTCGCTTAGAACCCTTAACAGATGTAGAATTTACATCATTTTTTGACTCGCGAGGTTGTCTCGTTGAAATTGATAAGTTTTTGGAACGTGCTTTTCGCGGGGTGAGTAATTTGGGCAATTATTTCCCCTTTTTCATACCTATAATTTTGGCTATTGGAGTAATCAGTCACTTTTGGGTCTAAAAATAGGGTTTAGGCCATGGTATTAGACAAGAAGCTTGGAAGTATTTACTAAATTACTATAGCTTTGACTTTAACAACGAAATGAAACTTGATCGAAAGCACCAAAAGACGTCTGTACTACAGTTTTCTTCATTTCGCAGGCACGTACAGTTTAACATATTTTAATCTACATTTGTTAGAGGTGAATATCACTCAATTAAACAACAATGGCAGTTAATTACACCAACTCAGGAGAAGAATTTTAAAGAATTTCGTCTCCGTAAAAGTACCGTAGGTAAAATATATTGGTTTTGCTCTAAATGTTCTTACTATTATACTGATACCACTATTGCATATGCGTTATTCTTCTTTCGTCTAAAATCATTATACAGCAGAAAATAGTATTCAACGTTTAATGACTTCACTGACATATTACAGAAAAGGATGTACTACGAACAGATAGGACGCACGAGTTTTATAAGGGTGAAGATAATCCCAATGTGAAGAAATTATACAACATACTATTGACGTACAGTTTTTATAACTTTGATTTAGGTCTGCATATCAGAACTTGTTTAAAGCATATAAATTTTACACTCTTATGTATGATGCTATAAATACTTTTTCTTATTCAAGTGCAATTCTTTTCTTTGTTAGGATATGTTCAAGGAATGAGTGATTTAGTCTCTCCTATATTATTTGTGATGGAAAATGAAGCGGACACATTTTGGTGTTTTGTCGGCTTGATGGAAAGAATCGTGAGGATAAGAAATATTTATTTTTCCTTTCAGGTTTTATACCGACGTAATAACAGTAGTTTCCGTTACTGGTTTAAAAAGGGTTCGAACTTTGATATCGATCAGAAAGAAATACAGAAACAACTGAGTCTACTTTACGGACTAATAAGATTCGTAGATCCGGAATTTTGTAACTACTTAGGTAATCACATATTTAAATAATACGTTACTACTTTTTTAGCCAGTCGTAAGGAAACAGTTGTAAAATGAGACGCACTTGGATTCGAATTACAGATACTCACGATTCCAATAACCTCTACTTCTGTTTCCGTTGGCTTTTGGTCTTATTTAAAAGAGAATTCACGTTCCAAGAAACTATGTTATTGTGGGAGGTAGGTTGAAGAATGATCTTCAAACCGAATTCATAGAAGACATCTCATTTCTGCTTGTTATACATAGGTCTTGTGGAGTCAAAGATTATCACAGCATTTTTTACTATTTATCTGCTTGGCCATAATTATGAACCAGAAGCAAGTCATTGTTTCTAATAATTACGGATTTAACGAAATCATAAAAGTAGGGAGTAGCAACCGACTTTAAGCCTCTTCTGTTAGTTAGCTCAGTTATTTCCTATCAAAATTTTGATCATTTAGAGAATTTTCTGAGTTTTCATTTCTTCTTGTTAGCATGTGAATGAACTAGCTTTGAAACTAAACTTGGAAGACATCCTTAAGAAAGCTGAGACAATGTTTATTCAAGTTAAGAGATGCAAAACTATGCCTAGCAATATTAAAGAACTCACTGAGACTCCTAATTCCTTTGGCCCGTAATCCTTAAAATTTCTTTACATCAATCTCAACTTGTAAAATCTGAAAAAACGCTGGACAAGATACCTTTAATCAAGTCGTAAATACCCGGAACTTAATTAATAAAGTGTTTTCGAATTAAACATATAGGACCCAAATTTGGTGTACAATTGAACATTTTTGCTAATTTACGTTCATTGCATCTGTAGATAAGATAAATACTTTAAATCTTGAAGGCTATCTAAAATGTAGGTCTTAAATATGCTCTAATTACCATTAATCGAATCCAGATTGTATCTACGATATAATAACATTCTAGGATAAAAATGTCTGATTGGCGATTTAACCACGTTACTAAATATACGCTATATACAAAGTGGTATAGTATTTTACAAGATGTAGATCAAGCCAGTGTAAGGCTCCTAAACAATATACGGTATGCATAGCAGTTGTAGTATTACCTGCCTAGATAATCAAGTGTACTCGTACGCTCTCAGAGATTCAATAAAATGCTGTTGAGTCTTTCCATTACCGCCGGTTCGGGTTACTAAACAAGACAACAATACTTACTAAAATTTCACGACATAAACTACTGAATATCGCAATTGATTGCAAAGTAGAATAAAATTGTGAACCTTAATACTATGGTGCGTATTTCAAGTATTTGATAGATTTGGGCTAGTGTCTACAACACTTCTTTAAATGTTAAAGTTGGTTATCGCAATATTCGTACATCTTGTTATCACACTAATCATGAGCGGCCATATCTAATATTCATCAATTACCATACTCTATTTCTAAAATCTTCCCGAGTGCCAACGGTCAATTGTATCATGATACAGACCATTTGGCTGCTAATTTCGCAAGCAGTTTGAATACCTTTCAATAGCGTATATGTTGAGTGAAATATATAAATTGCAATAATTGGGACTGCTTTAATTGGTATAGCTTATTACTCTTTCTGATATCATGACTCTAAAAATATCATTATCTACATAGTTGCAAATGAAATTGACACTTTGTCTTAAACACCACCTTTTTGAGAAACATGTGCAATACAATCCCAAAAGCTTTTTATTCACTAAACAAGTAACATGTGCTAGCAACTACCGCTACTATTTCTTTATTGTTTTAAGTAGAAGTAAAATAAAGCTTCTTTAACCCGAATGTAATTCTAATCCATTCGTTCTAGGAAAGATTTCTAGGATTTGCTTATTTTACTATGAATCCATTCAAGATATTCATCGACTCTAGTATAAACTCCGTAATAATTTGGTTTAGCGCAGCCTAAGAAAGATAAACATGATTAAAAACTTATATGGCAAAGTAAGCGCTATACTAGCACTCCGGTCTAATAACTCGTGAAAATACTATTTTAATGTAGCGTTAGTAAGGACTGGAATAAAGTTTGTATCATAGAAATATAGTGACTTTTTACCAATAAGGTAAAATGCGGGAAATCGTTGAGCAGAATGGTTTATTTTTATATCTTACCACGGCCCCAGCTAACAACACCGCCTAAAACTTCATCCCCTTGATGGTTCTTGCAGACTAGTGGGCCACCACTGTCACCTTGACAGCCGTCTTTACCTCCTTTGGCATATCCAGCACACATCATCTTAGAAGCAATTTCGCCGCCATAAGAAATGAGAGCATTACATTTTTCATTACTAATGACTGGAACATCTGTCTCACGTAGCCCTTCTTCAGCTAGCATACCATCATCGCTTGTTCCCCAACCACTAACTGAACACATTTTGCCTAGAAAGTGATCATTTTGGGCAGCTAGCTGAATCAATTTGACTTTGTCATTTAGCTCAGCTGGATGTGCAAGTTTAAAAATGGCAATATCGTTTTCTTTTGTTTTTCTCGAGTACTTCTCATGTTTGATTCTATCATATTCACAATAAAGTTTAACGATAAGTAGTTACTTAAAAGAGTAAACACGCCAGTAGAATCGACTAGTAATTATTGCTATATCTTCTAGCAGTACTATTTCCCTGCCAATTATAACGAATTCTAAATTTCTAAAATTTATAATACGTGTCTTAATTTTAAATCAATAATACACGTATATGACAATTTCACTTTCGTTAAATTTATTAAGCACGGTAAGAGGTCAGCATATTAAATCATAACTAAAAATAGATCAGGCTCAACCAAAATTCTCATCATTTATGGTACCCTACTGTACTGTACCTTCCAGGAGAATACAGTACAGTGATATCTAATATGATCATACAGTGTAATTGTGTGAATTTACTGTCTTGTACTGTACGTACAGACTGTAATGTTAATTAGTAGTCACTACAATGTGTATTACCGATCAGTAGATCTACAATACTTATTATTGGGTACAAGACTCATTTTAAGATTATACGTTGATTCCATGGCCTTCTCTTCACGTCCTTAATTTCTCTGCCACGAGGCTAACCTGTCTCTGTGTCGTCTACTAACTCTAACTGTAAATAAATGCTATCTACGCTTAATCATCCTGCCTTCATCTCCAACAAGAATGTCTAACACTACACACACTACTGTTTTTATAGCCTTGAATTACTTTACTACTCATACACCACATGTTATTTTACAGTACTTCAATTCAGTCTTTTTCTAATTATGATTAAGATATACAATCGGTATAAACATAGGAGGTTCAATAGAGAATTGTGAGTAAAATTTTTAAAATATCATTTTTACCTCTTTTCAATTTCAATCTTTTGTTGACTTTCCTCCTCCTTAAGAATGTTGTGGGCCCCTAAAATGGCCTCAAATTTCTCATTTGGAATTCGATCGACGACACAATGTGCAGCTGTAATGACATACTGCTTAGAAATTAAAGAACCGCCGCAAAAGAACTCTCCTGATCTGACTAACGCAACTTGGTATGGTCGACTATGAGGTATACTTTCAATTCCACCAATTATTCTGTCTTCTTCCAAGTCATCAATGAATCGGTCGTCATTTACCGCTATTCAAGCCATACGGGATTTGATCAAAATAGATATCAGATGAAGTGAATTATTAAATAGATAGAAATGAATGCGCATATACCGTACTATAGTAGTACCGGTTTATGATTACGAGTCCATTCTGACAGTATAAATCGATGTTAATTGTAATACGTGTTCAAAATAAACGAATTAATGCCGTAATAATAGCAAAATTCTTTTTGTAAGAAATTTTTTAGCTTAGTCTAAAACTACTTTAAAGATAGTGCAAATTACTAAAATATCTACCTCGATCACGAAATAGGCTTGCTCCTAATTTAACAGTATCCCTTAGATTTCGATTTGGCGCTTAATAAAGAAAAAAGTAATAAAATATAAATTAGAAAAGATCTCTTGAATTTCGTTATATTAATAAATATGATAGAAAGACTTCTGTGTATAAAGGAGTGAAAATTAAATCCATGACTACATAGTTGCTTCATTAATAGTGCAGTAACTAGCTAACTCCCGACCTTTTGCCTTTGTACAGTAGCTAAAATCAGTAGCGGTGAGTAAATAATATAAATTAGCATCAAAAATCGTTTCAGAATAATGTAACCGTAAAATACGAAAATCATAATTTACAGCTAGGTATATCGATCATCTACGTTGTTACCTATAAACAATAATTGAACATTTTATAATGCATTAAAATTAGTAATAAGATACCCATTATGGTGAAGTGGTAGACATACGGGTAATATATATATTGCCTCTTCATACAAAGATAATTAAGTAAAACAATTCTTCATACAACCGTATCTTATCCTATATTACTGTATATGCAATTTAATGAGTAGGACTTCGCTAATAATTTCAGAAAATGTTTCATTAACAAATTATTACTTGATGCAAATACGTTGCTTGCAGATTAACTGATCGTAAGATCACACACAGTACAGTACTTTGATAAAAACATTTATCGAATATGATTCAAATTACTTAGTTAAAAGTTTCAGCCGAATTTCGTTACCTCCTTGACTTAAAATGAAATTCACTATGATGGTACTAATTTAAACGAATCGCTTTGTAGTATTCAGTACTCGCTCACTCACAATACTGTATACCTGTAGGGCTTATTTTCATATTTATTCTTATTAGTCATTGACTAATGTCATTTACTGTATTAACATACTCCTACATTATAACTTCGTGCATCACATTGTTAAATACTATCTACAGTTAGGATAAGTTAATATCCAATACAAAACTATCCTATGGCAATATTAATTAAACTTTTTTAGGCGAATAATTACATACTCGGCTTCTGTTAACTTTTGAAAGTTAAGTTGTATCATTAATTACTGTAGCTAATCTAATAATGGCACATATGGTTATATTGGGCAGTTACACATAATAGATGCCTTTATAATAATATAAGGTAGTATTTTGTATCTTTAGTAACTATAGTAGCCAAGTTTTATGTCAAAATCGCAACGTTTAACATTATGTTCAATGTTTCAGCAGCTACCTGCCATACAGAAAGCCATAAGACCAAAAATGGTCCAAAGACGGATTACATGTAGCATTTCACCTATCGTATAGACATAAAATAATATGTCAGACCTAGAGAATATTTAATCCTTAGTTACAAAGCTATCTTTTTATAATAGTGATGTTTTATTTTGTCACTTTTTACATAACTTAATCTGACCACATTTTAGAGAGATGGAGATAAAAATAACACTGAAAATCATACGTAGATACTTTGCTTTAAAATTAAAACCTCAGAGCTACTTATTACGGCATAGCGAAATTGTTTTAGCAACACAATACGATCGTGTATCAATAGCTAACATAACGCATAAGAAAATGTTTCGCAAAAATATTTTAAAAAACACTTTTGAATACAAATAAAATCCTTACATCCACCTACAAGGTTCGAGCGCGAAGCTATAAATTTCTTAATGCGAAATTGAGATTAATGATTGAACATAATTAAAAACTGATCCATGGCATGAATAAACATATAAATAGCCAATAATTGAAAAGAATAATCTAAATTTCTCGTTCCTATAATTACAAACCGTTTTAGACTCCAACTTGAATAATAGTTCAAGATTGAAATAATATGCGATGCTACAAAGAATCACTAACAATTTTATATTTCTGCTCAATCAATACAAACTTACATACAGTGTTATTTTAGATAATTAATATATTATAATTATGCATCAGTAGGCAACATTTCTAAGTGCAAGAGGAATTTACAAACTGTGATATTATGATGTAAATTTTGAATTAGTAAATGTAATTAGTATCAGTGATTGTAAATTGGATTACCCTATTTGCATTTACAAATAATTGTTGCTGGGGTTAACTATACATCCCATATTGATACAAGCATTATTTGCTTCCGTAAATACTGCATTGTATAGAAGCTAACTAATTAAGAAATATACAAATTTATGCCTTATTCAAAGTGTCCTAATAAGGATAATATGACCGCGACTGTAGATTAAGCCAATTTTATGCCAATTATTATAATAAATACAGAGTTTAATGTAAACATTGTTATATTATAATAATCACTAGCCATTATGGGTTATAATGTGAAATTTATACTAACAAATTGAATCGATATATGCATAATGTACTTGCGCTAAGAATTACAGTAACGTCACCTACATACAGGTACGATAACATTATAATAGCTATCAGGATGTTTACTAAAATGAGCTGATTTGGCATGATCATAACACTATCGATGATACTATTAAATTTTCATGAAGTAGATAACTAGTGAACGTAATAATATCTCTTAATAAGAAAATCATTCGTCACGAGTCGAGGTGATTTTAAAATTGTATATATAATTGAAATATTTATCAACATATCCGCATTGTACTTTATCTTTATTCAGACCCTGGTTAATTGATCTTTAGTCTAATTATGACATCAATACTTATCTTATAAATTAAAGATGTTGATACGTTGATAAAGCATAGATTCAAATCTATGTACTTGAAACTATAGACTCTTGGTTAATATCAAATTAAGATATTTTAATTTGGAGCGTAATTCGACTAAAAAATTATTGCTCTAGTTCATTCAAAACTATTTAGGAGCAGGACACTACATTTTTACTACTTTACGTACTAGCAGAAATAATATCATATACATACAACTACGTAGCTATCTACCATTTAATAATATGTTATTTGATTACAATATTTGTATCTACGGTAGTAAATTTGTCTTATTTTGTCTGTTACTTTCTTTAAGAAACTAAGACGATACAGGCAATACATTTACAGTATGCAGGATATCGAATTCTGATGTAATAGTTGCATTAGCTACTGATTCAATGATCTCCTTTCTATTTTCACGTATTGAGTAACAGCGTATTGAGCAATATGATAATCATTTATAGTTAACAATATTACTATCTGCTGGCTTGAGGCAGTACGAAAAATAACTGCAACATAATCAGGGTTACTTGGATTAATACAGCAGATTAACTGGCATTATGCCTTTTAAAATTTAATTAAGTTATATCAGAATATTCAAGAACTATGCAATAGTTAACTGCTATTGGAGATAAATGCATGAACGAAAGAAATAGAAAGTGGCAAGAGGACATGAGCCTATATAAAGGTTTTCGTATGAAATTGGGTGGCGAAAAATCGTTTATTTTTCAAAATTACCTTAATTTTGTCCATCATCTGATTTACTGTAAGAAAATTAAAAGCCTCATATAAAAATTACTTGAACTTAAAGCTTGTAAAAATATTCCTGAAACTATCCATTTAATTAAATCTTAATGGCTTATTGCGATGCAGTAGTTGTTGTATGTTGTGTATTACTATCTAGGGTTAATAGTAACAACCATATTGAATGGTCGTACTACTCTCAGTTAACATAGACAATAGAAATTGAACACGTAGTTGAAGTTATTATAAAACAAATTGCTAACTCCTACTCTCTCTTTATTGTACTGAAAAACGCCGGCTTATATACGTGCGCTGTTGTAATTGCAAGTTTGTGTAACAGAAGATTCATTAGTGCACAAAGCACAATCTACAATTGACACGTACTGTAGAATTAACGAGTGTAGAATATTACATGTGTAAAATACCATAAATAATTAATTACGATTATTATTATATAATCTGTGACAATAGCAAGTTTGTAATATACTAAATTCAGGTAATATCGAATTAACGCAAATACAAAATATCAATCTAAATGTATTAATGCTATATATAGTACTACATCGTATTAAACGTACAATCTAATAAATATAGCGTAGCGTAGTATCTAATATTGTAGTCCAGTACAGTACAGTATAACACCAAATATGTGCGTGCGAAATAAAGTGAAAATTATAACGTTAAAAAGTAGTGATATACTGTACAACGCCAAATACTGGCGTACGAATCTTCGAAGTGTTCATTAAAGGCGCACTGTATTGTACTTTCTGTAGATCCAGAGTGCGTGTGTACAGTAGTTGAAGATGTGGGTATCTTATGAAGTGTTAGATTGTGTACAGAAACTCCACCGTGCAAATCCACCGGAGAGAGAGCATAATAGCCGCAAGTTTTTAACGGTGAGTGGATTAGGGATGTAACTTTGACAATATCAGCCGTTGATAAATTATTGGCATTGAACTTAGCTAACTATAATACATAGCACTACACTGTACTCAAATACTGTCTTCTAGCCCAAGTTAGTGGATCAATTCATCGCAGAGTTTTTCCTAACATATTAGCTGATCCCTCATACAAACAGTCTCAATTCTCAATGTGCCGAGTATAACACACCTCATCGTAATAGTATCCATTTGCCATTGATAGAATATTATACCAAGATCCAATCTAGTGAATATCCAGCATCACTACCGGTATTAATGGTTACGAACCGTGAGATATGCGTTGTATATCAAAGCTTAATACGCATTTCGACTTGTACCTCCTTATTATGAACAGAATTCCGTTAGAACAGATATTAATTAAATGATTCATTTTATCGGTAACTAGTTTTTCTCGTATACAGCATATGTGCGTGTGATATATACCAACCACGAAGTTCCAAATTTTAGAAAAATAAGGGCTTTATTGAATCTTATACAAAGATTAACTACACACAGCTCTACTCTAGCCGAATACTACTTCTAAAGACTTCTACAACGAACTAACATAATAATCTAAAGTTGCATGCTTTTATACTTTTCGTAGCATTCGCAGCTACAATCCGCATGGCAACCTCTTACCTTATATTACACATAGTTAAATTATTCTTAGTAAGACTATTCTACAGCTGATCATCATTAATCCAATATGGATACGACTACAGTACTTACGTAGACATTATTCACACCAGCCAAAGTACAATAAATTAACCATATCCTAATATATGATTTACAGTTCTATTTTACCTATAGCCTTATACTAATAAGGCTATAGGTAAAAATAGAAATAGTAACTTAATTTAACACTTTACTGTATATAGTCATCTGTACTCTAGCATAGAGTCTATACCACTACAGTCTATAGTTATGGCTACCAAATATCTCTTAGGATAAATATCTACCTTACATTATACTAAACATGGCTAACAGTCTACAATCACAATACTAGTTACATTACAGTGCGATTACTGGGATATCCGGATATCCATCATGATACCGCGAATCCGTTAATAGTAATACCCTGTATCTAAGCTCACGAAGACAATTAGCATATGAAAATAGGATATTTTGGGTTGATGTAACGGAGAATGGCTTGTAATAATAAATTTGGGCTAGTTTATAAAATGAATACTAGTATGCAATAGTATTACAATATATAGTGATTATGATAAGTAACTTCGTTTAAACACATAGATCGAATACCTAAATATTTTTATAATTTTAAATATAATAATGGGCATATATAAATACGTCCGTTCAAATAACCCGCCTTATGAACGGGGAAAAAGTTGTACTGCTATGATTACAGTAATTGTAAGTTTTTGTGGTAGACGAACGTTAAAGTGAAAGAGTTACTGTTAGCGCATACTATGCATATATAACTTATCGAATTGATTATTGACTATTTTTCGCAGATATCTTGCTACATATAATTAATATCCAACAATACTTACATTTAACATACTACCGGCAATGTAGCGTAAATATGAATAAATGTAAACTTAAATTGTACGTTTAGTAATGCATTTTTATATCGGAAAAATTAGCAAAATATATTAGTTCGGATCGTAAAAGCACGGATAGCAGCTAGATCACTTTTAATGATCAATTTAAAACTTAAAAAATGTGTCAGGTAAAGGGCCGTAATGATCGGGTAGTGTATGATATTGCAAATATTTGGATCTGAGAATAGAGTTGTATTAGATGCTTGTTTTGGTACTTAAATAAGGCGATATTTAGCCTAAAATTGCCTTATGGTTAAGAAGGTATAAAAAATTTTAAATATCTAGATTAGTCTTGCCCAGTAGCCACAAATATATAATCTATAAAACAATCACAATTTTTGCTACAGTGATTGTT